GGTACTGTGGAATATGGAAAATTATCTTATCATTTGTATGTTTCAGGTTCTTGCTGACTTTACCACTAAAAGAACGGTTTAGAACATGGTTCCTTGAGGTTTGTGTCGGACACCTTGCATTTTGTTTTTATTTTTATTTTCTTTTGTGGGTTTTGGGTGAAACATTCCACTATTTCTGGACAGACATATTGCTTGTTAATGCGAATCAAACATGTGTCCACATTTCAGTTAGACTGCCACATAAATTGTTATGTATGTAGAGTGTGTTTGGTAAACAAAATAAGTTAGCTTATAGCTTATTTGGTTAGCTTATAAGCTTTCTGTATTCAAATATAGAAGAGTTGGAGGACCTTCTCTGTAAGTCATTAAATTCAGAGGCCACTAGACCTTCGTTATTTCCTGTCTCATTCTACCTCAGATACTCATGTCAGTATGTCTTTAAGAAATACAATGGTAATTATATTTTTTTTCTGAAATTGATCTGTAAAAATTTCTGGAACAGGGTCCTCCATTTCACAGATTCAGTGCTCTGAAACACTTGGCCCCTGACAATTCGGTTGAAGAAGTTTTGGAGATTTTGCAGGAATATGCTCGATTAGTTCAAGGTCTTTGGGTTCCAAAAAGTCATTTGGTGTATGGAACAGATTCAGGCCCTGAAGTTATAGCAAGGGATTTTGTTCTTCGTAAATTTAGCAAGAATGTCACTATGAAAAAGAAAGAAATACCTCGCCAAGTTCAAATAGCAAACCATGCGAGAGAGATCCTAAAGTCATTGGCCGTAGAGAGGGAAGACTTTTTTAATGATTGGAAACTTAAAGAGCTCCCAGATTTGAGTTTCATAAAATCTTATCCCTCCATTGTGGAGAAACAAGAGAGAGAGTGGGAACGCGTGGAAGAAAAACTTAGTCGTGTTCTTCCTGATACAAAACCTGCGCCTACTAAGAAGTTAAATACCACCAGCAATCCATCAACATCAAAAAATTCTGGTAAAGTAGTTTCTAGGGCTCCAAAGGGAGGAGCTGTCATGCCTGAAGAAGTTCGGGATGCTGTAACTAAAGCACTTCAGAAACTTTTCAAAACAGTCAAGATTTGCAGGTTAATTACTCTGTTCTAAGTTCATATTTTCAAATTCTTGTACAAATCGTAGATGTTTAATTTTCAATTTCAGTTTGGTTTTGTCGTATCACAGAAATATCCTTTATTTTACTGCAGTTATCAACAAATTAGCCAGCTGTTAAGGGATATGGCAGTTTCTGAGTCCGCACGTTCAACGGGATTTGCCAGAGAGGCAGTAACTGCAGCAAACAGTATTGATGCTTATCCAGATGAGCTTCAAGCTATAATCAATCAAATAGCTGTTAATATTCATGGCATTTGTGTTCCAAAATCTTCCCCGGATTGCCCACAATATGATTCATTTCGGTCAGATTTACGTTCTATATCTTTTTTTTTTTTTTCCTTGTTTTTTACCACAAAGAACATGCTAAAGCCTTTTGCAAATAATTTATGCTTGGTATGCTGCAGGAAAGTAGTTATTGATCTTTTTATTGCTCAAGGACCAAATGCTAGACTCAGAAAGGCTTCCATAACTGAGGCTGCTAGGATGGAACTTAAAAGGGAACCATCTACAATTGAGTATGATAAGGTAATCATTCTTCTCATACTTTTGATGATGACTCATGTGGGAATCTCTTTATTCCAGGAATGATGCATTATGACGAAGTTTAAAACCTATATCAGATTTTTGTTTAATCACGAACTTAACACTTAGCTACAGTTTCTGTTTTTGATAACATGGTGAAGTGTTATGAGATTGCAAGGGCATATGTGTTGTGCGTATGTTCTTTAGTGATGGCAGGATGTGAGATGTTATAACATTCTTAGGGTTCTTTGAAGTTATGGTTAAGCTATTAAACATTCATTAAAGTGATGATGTTTTAACAGTAGCCTTTCACTGATCTGTTTCTCATCTTTTAAATGACTTATGTCATAAATCCTTAGAGATAAAGAGGAGCTATGGGCTTATTTATGTTGGTAGTAGTACATCTGATGAAATTAATGTCTGATATAGAAAAAGAGTTTGAAAGTTTTCTTTCATATGAAAAGGATAACTGTAAATTATTTAAACAGAATTGTGTTCAAGCTCTACATATTTTTACCTGGACGTATCCTTATATTTCCTCAACAATTATCATTAATGAGCTCTTTATGTGTTTGCTCATCTAAATTGTGATGCTTCCTAGACTGGCCTTCAGTATGATGCTTTGAAAATATATCAAACAGAATTGCTAATCCAGATATGTTTTTTTCTATGTATATCTTGCTAATGAGATTAACTTCCAAGAGTCCTCTGTGTGACCTAATAACACTTAAATGAGTATACTGTATTTAATACATTTTGTTCCTAGCGTCCTCATAAAATTTTGTTCAATTGTTTTCTCGTGTGGTTCGTTTTTAATTTGTTTGGCAGGTTGTGAAGGAACTGTGTTTGTCTCAAGGCTCTGGATGGACTTTGAAAACTGGTGGTGCAAATACAAAGCATTAGAGTTCAAGCCATCAAACTAGTAAACCAGTAGATGAGGTACTTATGGACTTACTAATTAGTCTTTCATTTTTAGGTATCTGTAAAAGTTCTTTAAGTGGACTTACTAATTAGCATTAATGCATCAAATTGAGATGAGCTTTTTTGCTCTGACAGATCATATTTGCTATGTAACGTGTGAACCTTAATTGCGATTTACGTGTTGAGGATCAGATAACGATTAAGTTAATGACCATACACATCAAATCAGCACGATACGAGTTTTTTCATGTTTACCAGATTGTTCTCATGTGTATCATGGGCGTAGACTGTTTTGTCATTCCAAAACTAAAGCACAGTATACAGTGAACAATCTTCATCGTACATGAAGATATAAAAGAAGAAGATAGAAGTGTTTTTATCCGCCGAGGGCTTGAAGGATGGATCAACTATACTATGAACTTAAAATCAGAAAATTATCGAGTAAGGGCTTATAAGATTTGAAAGAATGATAGAACCATAAATTTCTGCAATGTGCAAGGACCTCTTTCGTGGGGTTAAACAACAGCCAAACTATAAATACTACTCATGTGCAGTGATAGAGCTAGAAACTTAAACCAGAGGGTCCAATTAATACTGATCAAAAAAATTAAATAGATACAACTCACATAAAAATAAAGTAATTAGCTTGATCATGTTTGATTATTCAAAAGCAAGTAACTTTAATTCAATATTTTCCACATCTAATTATATATATATATATATAGAGAGAGAGAGAGAGAGAAGGGATCATATGAAAATAGTAGATAGTGGAAGAAATAAAAATAGTTCTGGACCATTAGATCCAATATATCAATAGTTATCATCAAGTCAAACTAGTACGAATCTCGTGCGATGTACGGGTAAGAGATATTAATTAATATTTATAAATTAAAAATTATCATTAAATAATATTTATAAATTAGAAACATAGAATCAATATGTAATACAATGTACCTATATAATTTATTGAAAATGTTATATAAAATTTAAATTGTGCAATATTACATAAAAATGACTATTTAAAATTAGTACATATCCCATGCGTTGTTGTACATAACTGATAATAAATTACATTATATTCATTTCAAAATATGTGTCATTTCAAAAATTCGATTTGACTATAACGTGATTCCATAAAATAATTATTTTGGTAAAATTTTATCATATATTAAAAAAGCTATGTGAATAATAAGTATAAATATAAAACCTATATCGTTTAATTAATTAAAATGACTTTACTTTTGTATAAAATATCCAAATAAAAAAATTTAGTAGTTGAGTAAAAACAATCTGTCATAAGATTTTTTACGCAAAAAAAATCGACATTCTTTAGCATGCTAAAAAAATGAACAGTGCATTTCACAAAAAAAATTATTTGAAATGTCGTAACAAAAAAATAATTAAATCGATACCCACTAATTATACCAAAAAAAAAAAGAAAAAAACTGACCAGAACTGTTTCTATAAAAAAATTATCGATACACACACATTATATCAAAATATCATTTCATATTATTTTGTCGGAGTTACTGTAATTTTATTATATTATTTTCATATGAAAAATTGAAATAAAATTTGAAACTTACGCCTAAAAGCCAATATATTAATCTGCATATTACAGAAAAAAGTACACTGTGTTCAACAAATTTCCTATAAAAAACAGTTATCAAATAACTTAAATAAATTTGTTCACTTTATACCATATATTGATTAATTTATTTCCCATAGAAACAACCATCAATACCAAAAATAAATTTGTCCACTATATACTATATATTAATTAGTTCACATGATTTGAGTAATTAAGGCATCTTGAAATATGGCTTAATTACTTCCTTAAATAATGAGCCGCAATTTCCATAATTGATCATTTGAAATATACCATAAATTGTTAAATCCATTTCACGAAATAGTAAATAAATTTTTTTGGAGGAAAATAGTTACTATTTAAAAAATAATCAAACCCTTTTATATATATATATATAGATATAAATATGACAATCAAATATAGAGTGACATTGTTGTAAATAAGTGTATATTTCATGGTCAAATATACACATTTAAACATTAAATAAGTGCAAACTGGTAATTACACAATTACACACATCACATGTGGAACCCACTATCACTCCTACCAAACTTTAATTTCTCTCTCATATACTCTCACACACATGTCGGATTTCACACACACAGACACACACACACGCACACACCGGTCGGATTTTTCCACAGACGACCACTTCAACTGTAGCCTGTTGTCGAGTGCCGCCGCATTCAGTCGCATCCATCTCCCCGCTCGCTGTAGACCTCCGTCGGACCACCCGATGCAGCGCCTATCTTCGTCGGACTCTCGCTTGAAGTTGCAGACCGTCACAGCCAACGCCCGACATGTCCCGTCGTCACAATCCTACAATCGCCACAATCTACCGTCGGCACCGTCCAGTGGATCGCCGCGACAAACTTCACGGCCACAGTCCACCGTTGATCGCCGTCCAGTTCACAATCAAAGACGATACCCCAGCTAACGCAACCACCGGTCAGTCGAGTGGGATGGCGGCCGTCACGGCGAGAGCCACCAAGCCCTCGGCGCGCGAAGACAGGGACTGCAATTAACGACCGGAAATAGGTTAATTTGAGCGGCTCGAACTCGTCGCCGGCATTGAGGAGATTGATGAAATCTTCGCCGGCATGAGAGGCAAGGACAACGGCGGCAGTCGGAAGTGACGGCTGAAAGTCGGGCTTGTGACTGGAGACATTCTTCAGATTCTCACTTTTGTACAATAATGAAAAGGTTTGTAAATTTGATAACATCTAGGGGCTTAATTATAATTTCAATAATTTTAATAAATTACAATTGAGTTCATGGGTGAATTTATAAATAATCAAACTATAAATTAATATTTTAGCATTTCATGTAATATTTAATATATTATAGTTTTTAACGAAATAAATATACATAAAAAATACAATAATTAGTATTCTTTATGTAGTTCGACCGTTCGATTATATCGGTTATCTAAATAAAAAATATAAAAATAAATATTAATATTTTTAATACAATTTGTTTTTTAATTTGGTTATTTGAATACAAAAATAAAATCATACCAAAATAACCGATATATAAAATAATAATAATAGTAATTGACCTCTCCAACAGTTGGTGCATAGCTTTGTTGTTGTTGTGACATCTCCAACTCTCTTTATTATACTTAAGAGAGTCAATCTCATTTATGAGTTCTAGGACTTTTGACCATTAGAATCCCACAACCAATGTTTTGCGTGCCCATTTATGACTAACTTTAATAATTGATTTCTCACTCACCGAAAATCAGTTGTTAGAAAATAATTATACCACGAGTATCTATTCGAAAATAGATTTTTTTTACACAATTTTATTCAACTCAAATTAAATATCTAGCCATAAAAGAATCAGTCAAAACTGGGTCAAACCCAATTTTATATTACTGATTTTCCAACCAACTGATAAACCGAGCTAACTACCATTGTTCCGATTTACCAAACTATTATGGGTGCTCTATCTTTCCATCTATTTTGTATTTTTACAAAAATCTTTTTGCCCAAAATTCCAGTCCGCCACTTTCAGTTTTCATTTTAGAATTGTACACTGATTTTATAGGCAATTATATGCAAATTCAAAATAATTGGGTTGGTGGGTTGGTGCTAGGCTGCTAGCCGATCACTCGAAAGGTAGGGTTTCTGGTTACATGCAGATGCAGTAACAAATATCAATTTGTACTTCCTAAAACCTAACACGTTTTACGTAACTTTTTAAAATGTTTACGTACGTCTTTGTTTTATATAATTCTCTTTTCAACTCTCTTTTCCAGGGAGAATTCACTTATCCATGCCAAGTACTGTGTCACTAATATCGGTAATCACATCTCACAATTGTCAACTGTATTTATTGAAAAATTCCATCACTTCACTACTAACTACTTTTAGATTAATTAATTAAGTATATTATATTATTTATTTATATACAAAACAGTCCAAGGAAGAGAGTGGTCAAATACGGCGTCCCTCGGCCCATTTGCTGTATTCCTGTCGAAAACGTCTTATTATTAGCAATAAATATCAAAATCGGCCTCTTTCTCGTCAAAATCTCCATTAATCCTATTGTGACATATGATTACAACTTTTTCATATATAAGATTTTCCTTTATAATTCTATAATTTGCATAATTTCTTTTTTTTTTCTTTATATAAAATAAATAGGGATTGAAAATCTACAATTTTGAGACGGTTGGGCAAATATTGTGCACTTTAGTCTTTAGAGCACCCGCAATGGGGCGTTTTTCAGTCCCGTTTAAATGCCAATTTGGCATTCATCCCATTGCAGCCGTTCATTATTTATGTGGACCCAAGTTGGCGTTCAAAGTTCTGAACGCATTCAGCACTTAACTCTTTATTATTTTATTTTTTTTAAATTAATTGTTTAACTATATTATCATTCTTTTATATATTTAATTTATTTTTTATATTAAATGAATGGATATAATGAGTCCCATATTTGTATTAAATGAATGTATAGGGATATGAGTGTGTGTGTTTAAGTGGAGAGAGAATTAGTAGAGAGATAATGTAAAAGAAAGAGAGTGTAATTTTTTTTATTGAATGAATGAGAAAAATATTAACCAATGCGGATGCCTTAGCACTTTATTTTGTTATGGCTCAAAATCCTTATATTATTTAAATTTAATTATCAAGATAACAATTGGATCAGACTAATAAGAAGTACAGATACACGTCATCCGCTGAAATTTCCACGAGGCAGAATTATTGCTACTTTTGCGTAATGAGTTGACTAATGATCAAAATTCAAGGATTTAAAATATGAATGCGTTCTTATCCAGTTCCGTCTTGTGAGGACTTATATCCTTTTTCTGGTACAACTTCTTTACACACATGTATACTATATATGTGTGTGTGCTGCAAGAAGTCTATTTTTTCTCCAGCATTATCCATCATATTTAATTTTTTCTTTTTCAAGATTTTCAAATCTTTGTTAATTGAATTGATTCGCACAAATAAATAAATAAGCTATTTTTTAATAGGTCCAGCCTGAAGCCATATTGTCAACGACGACAAGGCTAGTGTGTGGTGGCGGGCTACCCATTGTGTATTGAGACGTTTATACTATTATACCAAAAAAGGTATAGAGATAACTAATTAGTTTTCCTTTACTTTATCCGTTTTCTACACACTCATGCATTTCCCTATATATATATATATATATATAGCTCGCAAATTGCAAATCTTGTATTCGCACTCTGGGAAAAGAATACATATCATTAACAACAAAAAAGAAAGAAAGAAAATGTCGAAATTGGAGACCGGTGAAATCATCGGCAGCCATGACAGCCAGAAAAAGCTCAACAAATACGCCTGCGGTTGCGCCGTAGTTGGATCCATGATTNAAATCCGGACGAAAATTCTCCAAATAATATATACAATGTGTGTTATGTAGACACCGGGGTAATGAGCGGCGCCATGCTCTTCATAAAAGAAGAGTTCACAATCAAGGAAGGCCAAGTCGAAGTCCTCGCCGGAATCCTCAACCTCTGCGCCCTCGCCGGCTCCCTCCTCGCCGGCCGCACCTCCGACCACATCGGCCGCCGCTACACCATTTCCCTCGCCGCCGCCATCTTCATGCTCGGCTCAATCCTCATGGGCTATTCCCCTTCCTATTCCGTCCTCCTCGCCGGCCGCTGCACCGCTGGCCTCGGCGTCGGCTTCGCCCTGATGATCGCTCCCGTCTACGCCGCCGAGATCTCCTCCGCCCACACCCGCGGCTTCCTCTCCTCCCTTCCCGAAATCGGTATCAGCATCGGCATCTTGTTAGGCTACATTTCGAACAACTTATTCGCAAACTTATCTCTGCGCCTCGGCTGGCGACTCATGCTCGGAATCGCCGCAGTACCTTCCCTACTCCTCGGAATCGGAATTCTCAAAATGCCGGAGTCTCCGCGCTGGCTGATCGCGCGAGGCCGCGTACGCGAAGCGAAGGAGATTTTGTATAAAGTTTGTGACGAAACAGACGAGGCAGAGCGTCGACTGCGCGAGATCAAAAAGGCGGCGGGGATCGACGAAAATTGCAACGACGATTTCGTGAGAATCGACGTGAAAAGGGGCGCCGGCGAGGGCGAAACCGGAATTTGGCGCGATTTGTTGTTTAAACCGAGTCCGACGGTTAGGCGGATGCTAGTTGCCGGCGTGGGAGTTCATTTTTTCGAGCACGCGACGGGGACGGAGGCGGTTATACTCTACGGACCGAAGATCTTTCGGAAGGCGGGCGTGACGGCGCGGAGGAAGCTACTATTGGCGACGGTGGGAGTCGGGTTGACGAAATTGACCTTTATCACGATCTCGACTTTTATTATCGATAAAGTTGGGCGGAGGAAGTTGTTGTTGGTGAGCATAGCGGGGATGGCGGTGGCGCTGACGGGGCTCGGGACGTGCTTGACGGTGGTGGAGAGGGCGGAGGAGGCGAGGCTCGTGTGGGCGCTTGTGATGAGCTTGATATTCGTGTACATGTTTTTGGCATTTTTTAATATAGGGCTTTGTCCGGTGTGTTGGGTGTACAGTTCGGAGATTTTCCCGACGAGGCTGAGGGCGGCGGGGGCGAGCGTGAGTGTGGGGGTGAACAGGGTGATGAACGCGACTGTGTCGATGACGTTTTTGTCCCTGTCTTCGGCGATTACGATTGGTGGGGCGTTCTACTTGTTTGCCAGCGTGGCGGGGGTGGCGTGGGTGTTTGTGTACTTTTGCTTGCCGGAGACTAAGGGCAAGAGCCTTGAGGAGATGGAGGAGGTTTTCAGCAAGGGAATGTGTAGTAGTAATAAGGCTAATAAGCAAGTGGAGCTTGTCAATACTTGATTGTCAAGTTTAAATTCAAAGACAAGAAGGGGTAGCTGAGTTGGTAGAACTTTCACTTGGGACAAATAGCTCTCGAGTTCGAGTTATGCAGAGGATAAGTGAAGAATCACTATTGATCCTCTTTAAATAAAAGAAAAAAAAAAGTTTAAATTCAAATGCAAACTAGGAATGAAGTATGTTGTGGTAATTAATTGATTTGGAAGAATAATTGCATCATGGAGTGATGTAGAACGTAAGTGTGAGTGACGAAAGAGATAAAGAGATATTCTCTCTCTTGAAAACACGGATTTCTTATTTCTCAAATCACAACTGACCGTCTGTTCTCATCCCACAATGAGCATAAATAGAGTCCATTATTTCCTAACTTAATGCGCAGGTAAATATATATCTTTCTACTCAACTAATGAAGATAAATAAAGAATAAAGATAATCGTAATAATGCAACGTGACTAATCAAATCAACGCTGGAAGTCGATCATATTTGTCCAGAAAAGCCAACGCGAGCTCGTCTCCATCATCCTCCCCCAGTTGAGAAGGATTCGCCCTCAAATCCGGACCGAGCTCGTCTCCGTCGGCTTCGTCAATGTGCAAAGGAGCAAAGTGCGTCACGTGAAAAACATCCGACAAACGAGCCTAAGTGGGCAATCGAAGACGGTATTCATCCGGAGGAAGCCGATCGATAATCTCGTAAGGGACGGCCCGACCATCCGCCGTGGAACCAACCCAGACAAAGTCGCCCACATCAAACACCACCGAACGATCGTCCAACGAACCATACACCTCTTCACATGCCCCCGCCATGGGAAATAAATAAGGTCGCCCGTGGGGACACCGACATTAAATGGGGAGCTGCACGATGCAAAACTAAGCGGATCCTAATTCCCAACGCGGGTCGTCGTGTTTGTCTATCGGTCGGCGAAAATCACACATGTACAACCCCTAGCCCGCAACTTCTCGGCCCAAATCTGGATGTTGCTGCCAGCCGCCATGGAACTCTCGTCCGACACATCCATGGCCCCAGCCGCGACGGTTTAGGTCACCGCTGTCGAGTCCTGCTCTATCTCGTTCACACCAACCACCGCGGCGCTGTTGTCCGCCACCGTGGAACCCCAGGCCGCTGTCATCAGGACCCCAGTCGCGATGCCGCTGGTCGGCCCCGTCAAACCCATCGCCGCGCCGCCTGTCCCGACGGTGCTGGTCGTCATCCTCGAACACCCCATCGCAGCAGTGGTGGTCATCTTCCTCGAAGGATACCCCATCCCGGCGGTGAAGGTTGTCTCCTGTAAACCCTAGGTCAACGCGTCGTCCACCATGGAATCTGTTGCCTCTGCCCCGGAACTGGTTCCCTTCAGCGAACGGATTATCGACCGTGAGGGTTTCGTCCGTATCGTCATCACAGGGCGGTGGTAGTGGCGACCGCCAGTGGGGCGCCCCGCCATAGCCTCGTCCTCCACGACCACCGCGTGCGCTCCGGTCAACCGCCACACGGTTCGTACGTACCTCGTCCATCATGGTTCGCATAGCCAAACGTAACTCCTCGATTCCCGTGGAAAGGCCCGTGAATCGATCATCCATCCCTTGAATCCGATCGTCCATCCATTGGAATCGGTAGTCGATGGTAGCATCGGTTGCAGTGTTTCCTTTCTTTGGCGGCATCGCGGATCGTCGCTGGTCTCTAGATACTAACTGATGTAGAACGTGAATGACGAAAGGGATAAAGAGATACTCTCTCTTGAAAACACGCATGAACAGATTTCTTAATTTTCAATTCACAACTGACCGTCTGTTCTCATCCCACAATGAGCATAAATAGAGTCCAATATTTCCTAACTTAATGAGCAAGTAAATAAATATCTTCCTACTCAACTAATTAAGATAAATAAGGAATAAAGATAATAGTAATAATGTAACGTGACTAATCAAATCAACGTTGGAAGCCGATCATATTTTGTTCAGAAAAGCCAACGCGAGCTCGTCTCCATCATGGAGTCAGCTGTATATTCCAGTAATTACTTAAAGAAAGAGCAACTGTATATTAGTGTTATAAATATTAAATACTATCGCATTACATGTGAGAGCAAAATTATTCCATTATCTCCGTTCTTGACCGACGTACTTTGCGTTGCATTTTGAGAGTGAAGCAGCAATGCAATTATTTAATTGCTATTATTCAATTAAGTTGCTTCCACTGATTTTTGAATTTTATTTTTCATATAAAGTATTTTTAGAAATTCCAACAGTTAGATTTTTCAGCTACGCCGTACGTTAATATTCGGAATGATGTATAGTTTTTAAGGTACTCCATAAGTGCGTGCTATATTATTGGTTTCGTAGTGAAGCACGGAAGTATGCCTAATTCAGTTTACAGTTCATTCATTCACTTATAATGGAATTTTTTACGTATAAATATTTGATTTGAGGGTTGTACAAGTTTTTGTTGTATAAAGAAATACACAAAGTCGGTATTCCTAATTGTTAAGAGAGTTCATTTATCAGGAAAAATATATAAAATAAAATAAAAATCTATCGGGAAAGAAAGACGTTTTGCATGTCTCCAGAAATCGGGATAATGAATGATGGTCATTCAAAGAAAAGGAAAAGAAAAAAAAAAGAAAAAAAAAGTGTCATCCACCCATAATGCTTTGGGTCTCTTTTTGCATATGTGTCAAATAAATAGACTTAAGTTTATAATGACATGGACAAATTCAAACTAAAAAGTTCAAATTTATCCAATACAAAAAAAATTACTAGGTCTAGAATATCTAGCAAACAATAAAAATATAATAATAGTAATTGATTGCTATTGTAAGGTTCATACTTAAGTCCAAAATAAACCCAAGAGTGGACTTGGTCTCTTTTTTTTATTGTCAGATAAGTTAGATTAAGTCCACTTTTAATTGCTATCGTGAAACACTTTTTTATAGACTAAGTCTATTTCCTACGTGGCATGTGATTTTTTTTAAAGAGACCCAAAGTATTGTGGGTGCTCTAAACGGCAGACCCATTTTTCACTCAAAATGAATTACATATTTTTTCTCACACCGCATTTTAACATTACTGTTTTTTAATCCCAAATAACACGGTCATGATTGTATGATATGATCGTTTAACATGATCACAAAATGTTTACAACACATTATCGAACCACCTGATCACACAACATAATCACACTACATGATTATACCACATGCACGTAAGAGGTGGGTATGAGTTAGTATAGTTCATAAATTGAGAAATCTTCGAATCAGTATTCAAATATATTTTTTTTTTTTTTTTATTTTGTTCGGATTTTTCGGTTTGGTTTAAATAAATTTTGAAAAATGTGGTATGNGACTATCTACCAATATTTAAGTTTTGATATGATTTCATTTAAAAAAAATACAACCATTCATCAATGCTTAACCATCTTAAGAATTTTATTTTGAAATCAACTTTAGAAAATACAATTATAACTCAAAATACTAGTTAAGACTAAATTTGTGCAACTAAGGATGAAAATTTTAAAGTTCAAACAAATATAATATAATTCTTTTTTTGAAAAAAAAAAGTATTTTACTTTTCATAACTTTTTAATTATAAGATGGTTTAGACTAAGAAAATTATCAACAAACATAATATAATAAATTTTTTAAAATACAAAAAATTACTAATTGTAGATGAATTATTATTAATTATAAAATTTAAGTAAAGTTTAATTTTTATCACTCTATGATATTCATTATTATAAAAATACTCAAATTATATTGGATTAAAGTTGGTAAAAATCTACGAAAAAAGACATCTAATATTATAATTCGTTTTTTCAGTTCGGCTCGGTTCAGTATGAAATGGTTCAATTTGTTTCTCGGTATGATATTTGTGAAATTTTTAGAATCGTACCAATATTCGATTCGATTCGGTTCGAAGTAAGTCAACAAATCAACAATTATTTTTTATTTCGAAATGATTTGATTCGATTTTTTGGAACGACCCAAAATTCATCAACTCTCATACTCAGCCCTAAGGCTCATTAGACAATCCATTATGTAATCGGCAATGTTGTATATAAAATATAAAATTTTAACTACTAATATAATAAACATAGAATATCGTCATTTTCGGTTGACCATTTTAAAATATCCACTGCCTAGTATGGCCCTTGTGAACTATCTGCATACTGGTAACTAAGTAAATAAGGAAAAGCAAGTGAACAAGATTGAGTTTAATTAGGTAGGCTTTCAGATTCAGTTCTGGCTTATTGACCGACTCCATAATTAATGCACAATAGTCTTTAGGGACCAAAACAAGAACAATAGTGTATTTAAGCATATGAGGCATCATCCACCTGTAATTGTCTATTTTCATAATACACGGCGGTCGAATAATTAGGAAATGTTTGTTACGGTAAAGATTAAGCTCAATTAATTAATGCCATTGGAGGGTAGTACGGCAATAAGTTCGGGAATTGATAACGATGTACGTTTACAAAATTATTGCACCATTTTACGTCAAGTGGAATAAGATCAAAGTAGACACGATTTGTTTTATATATAAATATAATAAAATGGTGTGATATTTATTTTTTGATTGATATAATTAAACAGTTTAGATTTCAGTATGCATACGACCAGCGCGAACTTGATCATAAAACTAACATATTTTTAATGATATATATTGTAAGAAACGGGAGGAAAAACAAGTCGGTCCCACGCACGTGAAGTGCAGTTCAGATGAAGCTCAAGTGAGGTTCCATAAATTTTAAAACGTAAGTTTTCTACGTCAAACCTTCAGATCCGTTGCGCATAAGTTTACGTTTACTATTGAATTCGTGACTTGTACATAACGAGATACTCACAGATCCCAACAGTATAAACATTATAACTCTACACACTCTAAATAGTCTAGACTTATATACATATAGTTACATACAATTCATAATTATCTTCATCCCTGGTTATTGACTTGAGCATCGAACCTTCTACGCCGAGACAAACAATAGATGCAGTTTTGTAGGTCATTTG